TGTGAGCATTTCTGTCTGTCCCTCTCTGCCGTTAGGGAATGTCCCTGGGGGTCATGGTTGCACCAGGGTGAGGCTGCTCTAGGGCAGCTGTTCTCTTACCTTGGAGCTTTCCTCCTCCTCCTCCCACTCCCCCTCCTTGCCGTCATCCTCCCTGTGTAGGGCATATTCCCCAGAGAAAAAACAGTGAGCTGGGGGCAGAAAACTGCTTTTCTGAGAGGGAGCCTCCCTGGGGGTCCTGATCATGCCAGGACATCCTTCCTCCTCCCCCCTCTCCATGTCCTTCTCCTCCTCCTCATTGCCCAGGGCACATTCCCCAGAGGAAACCCAGTGATTTTGGGGCACAAAACTGTTTTTCTGAGGGGGAATCTCCCCAGGGATCCCAGCCATGTCAGGACAGCCTTCCTCCCTGACCACCCCCTCCTCCTCCTCCTCCTCTTTCTCCTCACTGCTCAGGGCACATTCCCCAGAGATAAAATCACGATTTGGGGGCAGAAAGCTGCTGTTCTGAGGGGGAACCTCCCTGGGGGTCCCTGTTGTGCCTCTCTCCCTCTCCCTGTCCTCCTCCTCCTCATCCCCGCCACTCAGGGCACCCCTGAGCTTGGCCCAGAAGAGGGGCCGGGCAAGAGGCTCGCTGGGCCAGCGCAGGTGGGTGCGGCGCAGCAGCACACGGCGCATGCGGTGGAAGGCTGAGAGCTCAGCCTCAGGGATGTCCTCGAGGAAGACGAGCACAAGGACATCACGCAGCTCGTCGAAGAGGCGGTAGCTGGCGAGCTGGATCTCCAGCGAGCACCACTCGCTGCGCAGGTACCCGCGGCTCACCACGCACACCGTGCGCCGGCTGTTGTACACAGCATCCACGATGTTGTCCACAATGGCGCGGCCGGGGCGGAAGTCACGGTGGTGAAGGCAGAGCCGCAGGGCCCCGTGCTCCAGCTCAGGCACCAGCTCCTCCAGCACCCAGCGCTCGTCCGCAGAGTTGTAGGACACGAAGGTGTCGTAGGCGTAGCGGCGCCGCTCCCGCCGCCAGTGCCCACGCGCCCACGCCCGCAGCAGGTACAGGTGGTAGCGCAGCCGCCAGTACCCGCGGTGGTGCAGCAGCGGCAGCACCAGCAGTAGCAGCACGGCCGGTGCTGTCCCTGCGAACAGGTACCGCCCCATGTCCAGGTAGCACACACGTGTGTCGAAGCTGTGCAGGTATGCCGGGGCCCCGCCTGCCTCCCCGCAGGTGTAGTTGTACAGGTAGACCACCTGCACAGGTCCCTGTGCCAGCCATGCTGGCAGCCAGACGTTGGCACAGCTGCAGCTCAGCGGGCATTTGCGCAGGTCTAGGTAGCGCAGGGCAGGCAGGCGTGTGGTAAGTGCCGTGTCCAGCCCGCGCAGCTCGTTCTTGGCCAGGCGCAGCTCCTCCAACTGTGTCAGATTGCCAAAGACCTCGGGGCCGAGCCCACGCAGCCCCGCGCTCTCCAGGTCCAGACTGCGCAGGCGGCTCAGGTTCTTGAAGACGCCGGCAGGCAGGGCACCCATCCCACCACTGCCATCGGCCAGTGTCAGGTACCGTAGCTGCACCAGGTCATCGAAGGCGTCGGCAGGCACAGCCGAGAGTGCGTTCTGTGACAGGTACAGTGAGCGCAGGGCACCCAAGCCCTGGAAGAAGCGATGTGGGACCACGCGCAGCCCGTACGGCTGCTGCGCCTGCAGCTTCAGGTCATAGAGTCGGTGCAGGTGGCGGAAGGGTGGTGGCTGCCGCGGGTGCCTGCTCAGGTAGCGCAGTGCATTGGCACGCAGGTCCAGCACGCCCAGTGTGGTCTGCACTGGCCGGAACGCCACCTCGCTCACCTCCAGCAGCCGGTTGCGGTCCAGGTAGAGCCGGCACAGCTGAGGCAGCCCCTGGAGTGCGGCGGCCGCCAAGTGCCGCAGGTTGTTGCCACCCAGGTCAAGGGTCTGCAGGCGGTCGAGGCCCCTGAAGGCACCAGGGAAGAGCACAGCCACGCGGTTGTTGCGCAGGTTGAGATCACGCAGCCGGTGCAGGTTGGCAAAGGAGCCAGGCAGGAGGTCGGTGAGCAGGTTGTTGTCGAGTCGCAGGTGCCGCAGGTTGTGGAGTCCCCACAGCGCCGCACGGTCCAGCCGCGCCAGCCCGTTCACGTCCAGCCGCAGCCGCCGCAGTGCTGGAGTGTTGGCGAAGGCACGGGGACCGGCCACCAGGATGCGGTTGAAGCGCAGGGACACGTTGTGGAGTCGCCGCAGCACTGGGGCCCCGTGGCACGACGGCAGCCACCGCAGCAGGTTGTGCTCGGCCACCAGCTCACCCAGTGCCGCGCGCTGTGCCGGGCCCAGCAGCTGCCCCACGCAGCTCAAATTCTGCAGCCGGTTGCCAGATATGTCCAGGGCACCCAGCACCGGGCAGTCAGCCAGTGCATTGGCAGGCATCGCTGCCAGCCCCATGTGCCGCAGCTGCAGCCGCTGCAGCCACGGCCCTGCAAGGTGCTGGCACAGCTCGGTCAAGCCCCCTGCGCCCACCTGCAGGCCTGACACGTCCACGCTCCGCGGAGGTACCACCCTCAGCAGCCGTGCCACGTCCAGTGGGTTCCCAGCCAGGTGCAGCCGTGTCAGGTTGTGCAGGTGCAGCCAGCCAAGGGGCGCTGGGTCCGAGATGTTGTTGTAGGACAGGTCGAGCACCCGCAGCCCCTCGGGCAGCACCTCGGGGGTCGCCCCTGACAGAGCCCCGAGGGAGTTGTTGCAGAGCAGCAGGACCCTCAGTGCAGGTGGCAGCCCCGGCGCCAGCGCTGACAGGGTGTTGCCACACAGGTCGAGCAGATCCAGGCGGGGAAGGTGCCCCACAGCCGTGGCCACGGGGCCCAGAGCACTCAACCGGCCCCCCCGCAGCCGCAGTGTGGCCAGCATGGGCACCGCCCGCAGGGCCCCCGGGGCCACAGCGAGCAGCGGGTTGTGGTCCAGCCGCAGCGTGCTCAGGTTGCCCAGCCCAGTGAAGACTCCCGTGGGCAGCACTGACAGGTGGTTGTGGGCCAGGTCCAGGTGGGCCAGTGCCAGCAGCCCGCAGAAAGCCCCCCGGGCCAGCAACTCCAGCCGGTTGTGGGTCAGGTCGAGGGTGCGGAGCCGCGGGAGGTGGGCAAAGGCGTCAGGGGGCACCTGGTGCAGGGTGTTGACCGAGAGGTTGAGGGAGGTGGTGTTGGCGGGGAGGTCACCCACGGCAGCCCCCACAGTGGTCAGGAACCGCTGGACGCAGCGGAACAGCCCCGGGTCCCATGGAGCCTGGATGCAGTTGCGGAAGCCATAGGGAGAGATGCCCATGGGCACTGTCACCAGTGTCACCAGTGTCACCAGCAGTGGGGCGTACATCCTGCCCTGTCCTGGGGGGATCCTGAGAGGCAGGAGAGGGGGAGAGAGGAGTGAGGGATGTCTTCAGCAACTGAGGGACCCCCCTCAGGTCTCAGGGCCTCTCCCACACACCACCCCAGGGACCCCCCCTCACAGACTCCAGGGAGCCCCCCAAGCACCCTGGGACACCCCCCCTAGCACCCCAGGGACCCCTCATCCACACTCTAGGGACCCCCCTGTCCCCCAGTCCCCAGGGATTTTGGGGACCCCCATCTTCCCCCCGGCAGGATCCCACCGTGCTGCCGCCTCAGCCTCAAGCGATTTTGGGGCAGAAAAGGGAAGTTTTGGGTATTGTTTTGTGTCACCGCTTCCCTCTCCCCCACCCCCTCCCCCGTGACGTGACTGGAGGCGGCCCCTGCACAAATGGATTTGGGTGTCCCCAAAGAGGCTGGGGGGGGGGCACAGCTGGGTCACCCCCTCCTGGTGAGCCCCTGTGGGGGTCCCTGGGACCCCCAGTCCCGTGCCCTTCTCCCCCCCTTAATTCCTGCTCCCCCCCGCCTGCTCTTGGTTCCTCTTCCCCCACCCCCCCAAACCGACCTACCTGGTTTTGGTTCCTCGGGGGAAGTACTGAGTTATACTGGTCTCCAGTGGGCTGTACTGGGTTGTACTGGTGAATTTGGGTAGCTGGGGGGGCAATGGAGGGGCTCAGAGGGGCTGCAGGGACTGGTGTACATCAGGGTCTGTGGGCATATTGCGATCTGGGAGGGTTATAGGGGGCTGGGGGGACCCTGGGGGGCCGCAGGGATTGGGATGTGTCAGAGTCTGGGATACTGGGTTCTGGGGGGGTTATAAGGGTGCTGGGAGGCATTGGATGGGGGGGTGTATTGCATTCTGGGGGGGTTACGGAGGTCAAGGGGGGCTATTGGGGTCTGGGGGTGTCTCTTAGGCTACAGACATTGGGGTGCATTGGGGTCTGGGGGTTCAGGGATCTGGAAGTGCAGGGGGGAGGCCCTGGGGTTTCAGTAGGGATCCCTGAGGTGTGTTTAGAGGTCCCTGGTCCCCACCCTGTGATGGGGGTCCCTGAGGTGCAAGGGGGGGTTCCTGGGGTGCCAGGTGTGTCCCTGGGGTGTTTTTAGGGGTCCCTGAGGTTTGAGGGTCTTGTTTCCAAGCCTATGCCCCACCCCCTGAAGAACTGACCCCGCCCATAAAGTGAACCCCTAAGCCCCGCCCCCACAACCCCTCCCCCTACACAGCCCCACCACTATAAAAGGAACCCCTTAAACACTGAGACACTCCTGTCCCCGCCGGTGTCCCCCATCCCAATCTCTCCAGAGCCCCCATGGTGGCACCTGCCTCCCCCAGATCCCCCCTCCCCAGGTGTTCCCCATCCCAATCTCCCCAGAGCCCTCCCCCTCCCACTTCTTTCCCTTTATCCAGCAGCTCTTGGAGGGTCACAGACATTTATTGGGGTGTAGCAGACCTGGGGGGATTCCCAAAGTGGGGGGGTCATGGACAGGGGTCTCCAATAATCTGAGGGGTGCTAGAGTCAAGAAGGGGACCCCACCCTGGGCTGGGACCCTGGGAGGGTTGGTGGGGATCCCGGGATGGGGGTCCCGTGGGGGGGCTGGGGAGGAGTCCCAGGGTGAGGGGTCTGTGCGGGGGATGTCCCATGGGGACAACCCTTGGAGAGGGGGCTCTGGGCTTCAAGATCCCCTGGGGGTGGGTCCTGGGGGTACACTCAGGGGGATCCTAGTGTGGGGGGCCCCCACAGGGTGGGGCAGTGTCTCAGCACAATGGTCCCATAGGAGCCCCCAATAAAATCAGGGGTGTGAGGCTCTCATTCCCCCCAGGCTGGGGGTGTTGAGGGGTGTGTACCAGTGCAGGGTGGGGGTCCCCATTCAGATGCCCCCCCACTCAGGCCCTCGCAGGCGCCGAACCAGCTGCAGGTCCTTGGGGAACAGGGTGACCCTGCGGGCGTGCAGCGAGCACAGGTATGCATCCTCCAGCAGTCTCACGATGAAGGCCTCTGCTGCCTGCACCCCAAAAAAATCAGAGGGAGCCCCCAAACCCCCCCGATTTCCCTCAGCCATCCTCAGGAGACAGCGACCCCCAAAACCCCCAGACACCCTGTCCAAACCCACCCACAGGGGACTGGGGGAAATGAAACATCCTGTGGCCCTAAATGGGTGAGGGGTCCCCTTGTGCCCTGACAGCCCCCCCCCAGCACCCATAGGTGCCCCAGAAATCTTCTTAACATCCGTGGTCCCCTACCCCAGCACCCATAGAACCCCCTCACCCCCGCTGAGACCCCCTCACATCCATGGGGACCTTCCCAGACTCTCCCCCTCAGCTCCCAGGAGACCCCCCTCACCAAACCTTTCAGCTCCCACAGGCCCCATCCAGCCCCCCTCAGCACCCAGAGACCTTCCTGGATCCCTCAGCCCCCAAGGACCCCTCAGCACCCATAGGACCCTCCCACCCTCATGGGAACACCCTAGCACCCATGGGATCCCTTCAGCCCCTCTGGGACCCCCCACCCAGTACCCCCAGGTCTCCCACAAGCCCCCATAGGACCCTCCTATTCCCCCCTCATTTCCCCAGGACCCCCCCAGCCCCCTGGGCTCCCCCACCTCCTGTAGGGCCATCAGGGCCAGGCGCTGCCAGCGATAATCGACCCCCCGGGTGAAAAGCAGGCACAGCTCCCGCACCTGGGACAGGGGGGGGACATGGGGACAGCTCAGGGGACACAGGGACATGGAGGGGACATAGGGACACAGGGACATGTGGGGGACATGGGGACAGCTCAGGGGACACAGGGACATGGGGGAAACGTGGAGACAGCAGGGGACACGGGGAGTGGGGGGACAGTGGGACAACATGAGGGGGATATGGGGACACCTTGGGCTGGGGCTACCACCCTGGGGACATCCTGGGACTCCCTGGTTGTCACCCTGGACACACTCTGGGGACACCCCAGGGACAGGGACGCTCTGGGGATATCTTGGGGATGCCCTGGGGAGTGAGGTCACGGGGACATCATGAGGGGGACACCCTGGGGATACCCCAGGCACAGAGACATGGGGACACCACCCTGAGGACATCCCAGGAGGGGGATCGGGGGACACAGTGACACTTTGGGGGGGTCCCAGATGGTGTTTGGGTGGGTCCCAGGGCAGGTTGAAGGGTTCTAGGTTGGATTTGGGGGGACCCCAGGGGGAGTTTGGGTTGGATTTGAAGGGATCCTGGGGATTGTTTGAGGGGTCCCAGGGGGTGCTTGAGGGGGGGCCAGGGAGGATTTGGGCTGTCAGGAGATTTCAGGGTGGACTTAGGGGTCTCGGGGAGTGCTTAGGGAGTCCCAGGGTGGATTTGGGAGGTTCTGAGAGGGGCTGGAGGGTCCCAGCAAGGTCCCCGGGGAGTTTGGGGGGGTTCTGAGGGGGACTTGGGGGTCCTAGAGGTTGGTTTGGGGGTCCCAGGGTAGTGTTGGGCTTTTGGGGTCGGTTTTTTGGGGTCTCACCAGGTGGGCAAAGGGGACAGGCTGCAGCAGCAGGCAGGTGCCCATGGGTGGGTTTAGAGGTCCCAGGGTGTGTCTGGGGTCAGTTTGGGGGTCCCAGGGTGGGTTTTGGGGTCTCACCAGGAAGGTGAAGGACCCAGGTCGCAGCAGCAGGCGGGGGCCCAGGAGTGGGTGTTGGAGGGCAAGGGTTGGTTTGGGGGTCCCAGGGGTTGGTTTGGGGGTGCAGGGCTTGGTTTGAGGCGCAGGAGTGGGTGTTGGGTTTGGGGGTCAGTTGGGGGTCTCACCAGCCGTGAGAAGGGCCCAGGCCTAAGCAGCAGGCAGGTGCCCAGGGGTGGTTTTGGAGGTCCCAGGGTGTGTTTGGGGGTCAGTTTGGGGGTCCCAGG